CGAGGAGGAGGAGAGGAAGGGGAGTGGTAGAGGCTGTGGTGCTGGGGAGGAATGCGAGGAGGAGCATACATCAGGGTGCTTCTTCTTGATGGCGTTGACAACCATCTTCTGGTACGGGAAGGCGAAGAGGTCGTAGTCCTCGGGGGACAGAGAGCCCGCCCAAGAGTCAAAGATCTGGATGACCTGGGCAGACGCATCAAATGAGCCTCCCTACTCCCTCCCTGCCTTCCCGCCCCTCCCTCCCTCCCCTCCAGCCTGCCTGCTTGCCTGATCTCCCTTTCCCCTCCTCCCCCTCCCTCTCCTCACCTGAGCTCCGGCCTCGATCTGAAAGTTCGCGTAGTTTCCGATGTTCTCGGCAAGGTTCTCCAGCATGGCCGTGAGGAGGGAGGGATTATAGTACCTGAACAAGCAGCCACATCACTCCTGCTGCTCCTGCGCCGCTCCCCTCTCCTCCCTCACATCATCTTCTTGATCTCGAGGTACTCAGAGCTGGTTCCTCCCTCCACCAAGTAGGTCGCCAGAGTGAACGGAAGGCCCACGAACCCCAGCACAGTCGCCGAGTTTCCCACCTGCGCGAGCATGGCCTCAGCATCAGGTTGGGAGCTTGAGGACAAGGAGAAGGAGACACAGAGGAAGGGACGAGGAGGAGAAGCACGAACCCTCTTGCGCAGCTCTCCGAGGGTCTGCTTGACGAAGGGCATGGAGGTGGACCAGTCCGAGCAGATCTTCATCGTGTCAATCTGCTCCTTCGTCCTCAGGGGCTTCAGCTTCGGCCCGCTCGTCTCCTTGATGTCGAACTCCACACCTGCTCCTGGTTAGTCGGGCTGCCTCCTCCTCCTCCTCCTCCTCCTCCTCCCTTTCCCCTCCTCTATCCTCCTTCCCGCCATGGCCCACTGACCCATCCCAGGAAGGGGCGTGAGAATGTCGGAGAAGAGGATGCATCCGTCCACCCCGTACGCCTCCCACGGCTGCAGGGAGATCTCCGTCGCGACCTCAGGTATCTCGGACCTCTCCCTGAAGGTAGGGTACTTCTTCACGAGCTCCCGGTACTCCTGCCATCCCCCGTGAGCTGCGACCTCGCACGCTGCCTGCTTGCCTGCATGTGCCTGCCCGCCTGCCTCATCATCCACACCGGTGTCATCTCCACCTTCTCCCCCCTGGCTGCTCTCAGGAGCAGAGGATCCTCCATTTTGAGCCCCAGCGGAGTGGAACGGGACGCAGTCGCTGAAACAGCCGTCCTGAGACGAGCATCTGCTGGCGGACATCAGGAGGCATGCGCTGCAGGATGAGACGAGGAAGCCCGAAGCAGGGTGTTGAAGCAACAGATCGGCCGGAACAGGAGGAGCAATCAAAGTGGAGAGGAGACGAGAAGCAATCAAGCAGAGGGGAGAAGGTAGAGAGGATGGAAGGAGGCAGGAAGGCAGGAAGGCAGGAAGGCAGGAAGACAGGAGCAAGGGAAAAGTTTTTCACCCTTGGGCGTGACAGTGAGTCCGCTGCCGACGAAGGCAGATGAGTAGGGGAGACCGCACGCTAACAGGAAGGAGGCAACAGCAGCTGATCGCAAGAGGAACATCCTGATGGCTCCTGCTGGAAAGATGAGAACTGTTGCCAACAGACGAAGATGTCCTCTGTCATCATAAAGTGTATCTACAGCACTCTCTGCCTCTGTGCGCTCTGCGAGATTCCTGGAGGGGATCGGTACAAAGAAAGACCATGAAGCATCTACACTGAAGATAAGAGGGCGACAAGAGACGCCACGTGGATGAAATCAATCATGGTGACACTTCGCTGGTGGCCGGGCAAGTTTGGGGGGCGAGGGCAGAGGATCGGGATAGAGCGCAAGGCAAGTGTCTTGGCAACTAGCCTGATCCGAACAAGGGAAGCAAGAGAAGGATCAATCTCAATCGAGTGCATGAGGCGGTGACACGCAGAGAAACGAGGAGGGAGAACGGGGAGAGAGGAGGGAGGAGGGCGGGAGAAATGAGCGGGAAGGAAACGGCGCAAGCAGGAGGCAGCATAGCGGGGGGATCGATATGGGGGCTGGGATGGCCGTCACAAAAGATTTTAAAAGGTGCATTATACATATAAAATATTTGTTATAAGTTTATATAGTGTTCGGTACGATATAAAATTATTTCTGGTAATCAATTTATACAATAACATATGTTTTTATTGCTGCCCGGTGTTGCCCGTTCAACTTTTGGTCTAAACATCCTACCCCACCCATATGAATTATGACCCCACCCTCTTTCTTACCACGGAGCCCCTTTTTACACCAGCATACACCCCTGATTTCTAAAGGTTATAAAGTACCCACAGGAATTAGACCCCCCATCCCCTGTGACTCCTGCAGGAAGGAACCCCTCGGCGAGTCAGCTTGCTATGTGCGTGATAGCACACAGACAGGAAAAATGTGTTTTTAGAAAGTGTATGGGGCTGTGGTACAATAAATTTTATTTATTTTTATAATGTAGCTGAAGGATGATCCCTAGTTCATTCAAAACCTGTCGTACATGTTGATATACAACAGATTTAATAACTTAATATAAAATACAATCTACAAATTTTTATATAGTATTCTCAATCATTGAGTCATAATTGATAGATACAAATCTGTATGAGATAAGCTGTTTGTGCCACTTTGACTAGCTAGTTTTCTGTACCATCAATACAAAACTATAAAGTTTTAAATATACAGTATCACCAGTTAAAATAATATTTATTTATAACTGATCAAGTCGGGCGGGCCCCGCCACTGACAGTTTGCGCGACCGGGTCCGAGCGCGCCTCAGGGTCTTCGGGTCAACCGTTTGACCGTTGCCGAAATGCCGGTAAGCAGAGGGGAGGGGAGGGGGAAGGGAAGGGGAGACGGAAGAGGGGGGGGCTGGGAGGGGGCGAAGAGCAGCAGGTTCAGCAAGAGGAGCAGAAGCAGAATTACGTTATCGATGAGATTATGATGAGATGTTGATGGTGGCGGTCACGGGGACATTGGTTATGTGTGTAAGTTTGCGGGATGGAGGGGGAGGTAAAAAAAGGCGACCATGATGAGTTGCTGACGATGATTGATATGACGATGGCAACGTCTTTTGTTGAAGAATTCTTTGATCGGATGGAAGTGTGAGAAACTAAGTGGAAGTGTGATAACTAAGTGCAGAGGGAGAGGAGAGGGTGTGAAATCTGACTGCAAGGTCACCAACCGCGCTCCTTGCTTACCTTCCATTCGCAGGAAGCTCATTCTCGCCAACAGTTTGCTGCCTCTAGCGGGCAAGCGCTGATAACTCGATGTCAGAAGATCCTGTCTGGTGAGACCTGCCTTACTGAGCTGCCTCGATCTGGTCCTTGGGAGCACAGGATCGTTTTCCCCCGAGCCTCTCTGCGCGTTTCTCGTGGGAGGTCGTTGTCCTGTTGGCCTCGGCTGCTACATGCTGACATGAGACAGGACGGAGCATGGCGACGCATGGCGTGTGGGGTTTACCAAGGAGCAGTGTCGAACCATCACAATGAGCCAGAGTGATTGGGAGTCCTGGCACCAGCGACACACAGCAAACAGCAAGAAGATCTCCTCGGGTAAGGAGAGCTCTTGGGTGTTTGACTTGCTGTGGCTCAGTTGAGGTTGGGTATGCAGGTCAGAACTGGCGGGTTCCTTTCCAGAAGATTGTTGGACACACGTATCTACCAATCGGTTCAATGGAGAACTCACTCAAGAATTTTAGGAACTCAACGTATGTGAACGATGTAGCCTGCGCTGCCTCTCTATGCTCACTGTCTTGCACAGGAATTACGATCGAACGGCGGAGCCGCCAACGATTACTTGGAAAAACATACCGGACACGTCCCCACCCCTTGACAGCTCTTACTCGCACTTTGCTAACAGAACAAACAATAAACACTCATAGCCCAGCTGCTATGTACTCAACGAAGAGCACGGATGGTGGTCAGCTAGCTCCAGCAGGAATGCGTTTTACAGCGATAGTTACGGTCTCCATTGTTTCAACTTTGTCACCCCAACTTTCAAACAATGGGATCGTGGTATCACCTCAGGCCGAATCTCTTCAATTCTCAAGCACAACAAATGTGGCCTCAAAGAACGATAGCATGTAAAACCGCAAACTATCCCCCTTCTCTCCCTTCCCTTCTTTCCCTTCGCCCTTCCTTACCACTGTCCTTCCCTTCTGTATCTTTCCATCGCAGATCTGATGATCTCATGGCTCCTGGAGATGCTCTCGCTGTCACCTTCTCTTCTTCCTTCTTCCTTCTTCTCGTCCCTTCTCATGCTCGGCTGATCTTTCCATCCTCGCCCTCCCACTACTCCGATCCTCCTCTTCCGTCATTAGGGGAACTTGCGAGCTCAGACGGTGAAGGGTGGGGTGGGGGTGTGGAAACAAGGGGGTAGGGGTAATCTTCAAGAACTTTTTGTAGGGGAAAATCGGGGGAGTGATAGAATTGAAGGGGTGGGGTGATTATTCCTATCGATACAGGGTAGGGGTGAGGTAAAGTTTGTAGAGGTTGTGTGGGCGTGGTGGGTGGGTGGGATAGACGAGGGGTAGGGGGATGTATCTGGGGAGGGGACGTATGTCGACAGGGGTAGGGGTGGTGAACTTTGAATGGTATGGTAGGGGTAGTAAACAATAAGTGGTGAGGGGTCTTTCGGTGGGGGTACTCTATAATGGGGGTGGTTGCTGATGGAGTTTTCCTTCTGGAGAACCAAGACTAAAAGATGGGGGTGATTCATCGGAAAGTTAGGGGTAGTAGTGACTCATTATAGCGGAGATTCGTTGAGTAGGGGTGGGTGCACATTTTCGGGGTGGCACACAAGAAGTTGCAGGGGTAGTATTAACTGGGTGGGGTAGATGATGTCCAGACGAGGGGTGGGGGTTGGTTGAAAAAATGGCGTCGAAGCCCTGTAAGCAACGCAGGTGAGGAGGAGGAGGAAGAGGAGGGAGGGAGAGGGAGAGGATATGAGGGAACGAATTTGAGAGAGGATGAGAGGCAGAATGGTTGAGAAGGAGAAGAGGAGGAGGAGAACTAACGGGAAGAGTTTATGACAGAAGGAAAGGAGGGACAGTAAAGAGGAGACAGAGACTTGCGACAGAGAAGTGCAGTTAGTTGAAAGTCAGTGATATGAGACATGAAGGAATTCGATAAGACTGTGATGAGAATAACAGTAAAGAAGCAAGTTAGAAACGAGGCATTGCTTGGTTGAAGGAGTCGACAGAAGGAGGCGGAGTGCGGTCTGGGCTACGTGTGGGGAGCGGATAAGTAGGATAATGGGAGGACGGTGAGAAGACGAGGGAAGCAAGACAAGAGGGACAAGACCAATTGGTGGAGTTGGAGAAAATTGAAAAGGAGGAATGAAAACGATGAGAGGTCAGAGCTCTGGTAAGATCGATAGCTATCCGAAAACGCAGGACGAGGAGGAGGCGAGAAATAGGATGAGGCATTGTAAGAAATTCAGCGATTTGAAGTAGGAGGATGGTAAGGTTGCCCACATCGGTTATGTAGCTATTGAAATACCAGGAGGGATTGCGCTGCTGTGCAGAACGGCTGGTTCTGATACGTCATGGCAGGAGCGTTGGCCAGGATGAGATGTGGGGCGAGGGTGGTCGGAGATGTTTGAACTCGATGCCAGCCCTTTGAGGACCCATCTTGGATGCCAGTGTTGAAGGTTTGAGCCTCCGTGACTGGTTGGACCGCTCTAGGGGTTGATACAAGAACCGCCAGTTTCTTGAAAATGCAATCGGGCTCAGAGGAGCAAGAGATGGAGAGGGATAGAGGGCGAGTAGACAGTCTCAGGGGAAAATTCGAGAACATGCCGAATAACCGATCGACTCCTTCGCCATCCAGCAGTGGCAACAAGATGTCAGACGACCAGATCAAAGAGCTTGAGCGTGATATTCTTGAGCTGAGGCACGAAGAGAAGAGGCTCATTGAAATTCGGCGAGAGAAAGAAAGATTGCTTGCTCGACTCAGTGGGATTGATGACGGGAATGGAGGGTCGAACGAGAATGTTTTGATACCCGGACTACAGGATAGCGACTCTGTCGAAGCAAAGAAGCCGGGAATGAATTCGGAAATCATGCAGCCCCGTGAAATCCATCATACCATCGGTGACTTTGATCAGGACAAGGGGAGACTTCTGTTTAATCGAGATTACCACTCTGTTTTTGATGCTTCACCGCGAGCGAATCGTCCGAATGCGTTGAAAAGCCATTTTTCTAACTCACCTAATGAGTTCAAGGTGAAGATTGAATTCGGGAAGGAGCATCGTCTGCTACAGTTTAACGTCAGGGTGACTTACAACATGTTCCTGCAAACCGTGTTGGATGCCTTCTTTATGAATCTGACGGAAGAAGATATTACCCGAATGATGCATCATGTAGATATTGACGGCGACGTGGTGAAAGTGAACAACGACGAAGTCTTTGAGGACATGAAGGAGAAGTATCTGATATCAGGTCACTGGTCGGAGTTGAAGCCTCTGAGGATCGTGTTTCTGCAAGATGACATAGACCCGCTGTCCCTCGTCGCTATCCCTCCGCACGAGGGTTGCGACGAGCCCATCACATGGAAGCAAGGGAAGCTGTTGGGGCAGGGCGCTTACGGTTCTGTGCACATGGGAATGAAAGGTGATGGGACCCTGTTGGCGGTCAAACGACTTGATCTATCATCAGACAAGGGTCGGCATGTGTTCGACACTTACAACATGGAGAAGACGCTGCTGGAGAAGCTCAAGCACCCCAACATCGTGCGGTACATCGCTTCCAAAGTTGTATCCAAGAGCCTTGCTGTGATCTGGATGGAGTATGTACCGGGCGGATCCGTTGCAAACATCCTGCAAGCCTTCGGGGCGATGTCAGAGGACATTCTTCGGCACTACACACGGCAGATCCTGCAGGGCCTGCACTACCTGCATAGCAACGCGGTGATTCACCGAGACATTAAGCCAGGAAACATTCTTGTCACGGTCTCTGGCGTCGTCAAGCTCTCTGACTTCGGTTCATCATTGCGCGTCACTTCGACCTTGCAGAAGGGAAGTGGAGGACTGAAGGCGGTCCAACCGGTCGGCACACCAAACTACATCGCCCCTGAGGTCGTTCGAGCCAAGAACGAGAGAGACTACACGTACAACATTGACATATGGTCCCTCGGAATCACTGCCATCGAGATGATAACAGCGGAGCTTCCTTTCCAGGAGTACACCAACCACATGGCCCTGATATGGAACATCGGCCGACTGAGTAAGGACAAGCCCAATGCTCCGAAGCCTCCGGTTCCTCCACGGAGCATGTCAGAGGAAGGGAGAGACTTCATACTGAAGTGCCTTGAGCCCGACCCTGCCATGCGACTTCACTCGGCCGAGTTGCTCAAGCACGAGTTTGTTCGAGGGGAGGATGCGCAAGACCAGGGTGGAACTATCGGCTTCGACAGGTCGATGAAGCTGAAGAGAGCGACTAACGTCTTGCGGTCCATGGATTCCTCCAAGACTGTAACTTCACACTCGAGCTCTGAGGTCGAAGATGTAGACGTCTTCGAGGATGCGCAAGAGAGCGACGACTCGTCGAGCCATCTCGTCGTCTCTCGAGTTCCTGCCGCAGTGGTGAGGGAGGACTCTGGTGCGAGCTTGATTCGCTCGCTCCCCAGAGGGGAAGAGCTCTCCTTCAACTCGGAATTCAACGAGATCTTCTCCAAGCCACATTTTGGGAGCAGCAAGGGGAGCGACTCCTCGTTCCAGCATGAGGTCGCGTCGGTGGTGACGGAGGAGGAGCTGCTCAACGGAGTCTGCCTTGAGTCTGCGATGCTCTCGGCTGCTCCAGACACTTCAAGTTTCGTGCAGGTCGACGACGACGCTCTTGCTAAGCTTGTCAACATGGGTTGGACGGTGGAAACATCATCTCGAGCTCTTTCTATGTTTGACAACAAGGTCGAGCTGGCCGCCAATTGGCTCCTGTCAAATCCTGAGGACACGGAGCCGAAGGCGAGCAGCGAGACTCAGATGGCGCATCGTCTACCAATGGTATGTGAAGAAAGATGCATCGATCGGGCCAGTTACTTGAATTTGCAGCAGACGCCTGCACGGAGCGCAGCTCCTGCCAATGTGTTGCCTCCCAGTGTAAGAGCTTCTCCTGCAGCAGCTGTCAGGGAACTTCCTCCTGCAGCCGCAGCGATGTGCGGTGTGACAGCAGCAGCTGGGAGGGAGGTCGCAGCGGCAGGTCCAGTTGCAGGAGCAGGAGCAGAGGCAGGGGCATTAGCAAGAGCAGGGGCAGGGGCAGGGGCAGGGGCAGGGGCAGGGGCAGGAGCAGCTGGGAGAGATTTGGTGGTTGGCAAGGTTGTTCCTCCATCAAGTGGAAGAGAGGGTGCTGGAGGTCAGAAAGGTGAGCTCTTCACTTTGCCAAGTCAGTTGACTCACTTCTCGCTCCACCCCTTCCCGTGATGTCTACCCTGTCTTTGTTCTCCTCTCCCTTCCCTTCTTCATCCTTTCACAGATCAACACGCAGGAGCTCCGGCAGAGAAGCCTGAGGCCAGCAGGCCGGTCGCTCCCACTCAATGGCGCTTCTTACATCACAGACATTGGCGGCTGTACGACCCCGAGGATGCCCGGCAGTTGGAGAAAGCTTACCAGGATGGCAAAGATTCCTTCATCATGGAGATCAAGACGGATTCCCACCACGGTAATCGGTACGAGATCAGACTCAAGCCGAAGGAGCACATGTCACAGAGAAACATCGACAGCGGCTTCAAGCGGCCCATCATGCGGGGGACGGCGGAGGAGTTTGAGATTTTGGGGCGCAAGGAGTCGTCCCTCAAGCACTCGATCCCTGCCAACTTGGTCACCGTCTCGATGCCGACGGGCCAACCTGCCGTAGCAGATTACTTAAGACAGAAGGTTGAGATCGAGAAGCAGGAGAAGGAGACGCTGCGACGTCAATTCGAGGAGCAGGGGTCAAAGGTGCAAGTCTCGTGGTCATGGTGTACAGCCCCCAGCTCAGTACGGACTGACCCAACTTCACATGTCACTAATGCGGATGCGACTGTTCCCAAGAGCTCGGTGAGCTTTCAAAATGACCTGATCCTGTCCTCTGATGTGAAGTAAGTTGCAGGACCTCTCACCCGTCAGAAACTCTCTCTCCCCTTCGGATCCCACCAAAGAGGGCTTGCTCAATCCCTTCCACCGGACCGTCCACGAAGATCTACCCCTCTCCTTCAGCCGCAACCTCAGCATCAGCCGCTTCTCTTCTCGCACCGCCCCCAGACTTCGACCGTCCGCTTACATCGAAGGCAAGACTGACGTCAACGTGATCCTGCGACTGCACATGGGCAACATCTACAACGGCAAGGGAAGCCCTCCGGTCGAGTCCATCATGCGCTCTCCTGCCGCCTCCCCGGATGCCAGCCACCATGACTCTTTCGCCACCTCCTCGGTGAACGAGAAGCCTCAGGCGCATTCATGGACAGCCTTTGTGAGGGAGGCCAACGGAAGCTCGCTTTCCCGCTACATCAAACGAGTCTCCTTCGACCTCTTCCCGGACAGGAGGGGACAGGTTTCCTGAGCCACAACTCCCCCGACCGTTAGTGCTGACCTCGTCCTCTGCAGGCCAAGATAGACATCAACGCTGAGCCCTACGAAGTTACCCGATGGTCCCTCGTCCCCTTTGAGATCTTGATCCACATCGTCCTCCATGTCCGGCCCATGCTGCTCCTCCCCTCTTCTCCCTCACTCACTTGCCTGCAGGACGATTCGGAGTACACTGTCTCCCACTGGCTGTGAGTTGAATCGAGGAGGCGAGGAATCGTCTGACCTTCCTGCAGGTGCCTGAGCAAGAGCGGCAGCTGGAGTGACCAGAAGGCATCGACAGAGGCATGGCTTCCATCTCTCTCCTCCTCTCTCCTCCTCTCTCCTCCTCCTCCTCCTCCTCCTCCCCCCCCCCCCCCCTCCTCCTCCACTCATGCTTGAACAGGACGACGCCTTTCCCGTTACCAGCTACGTGCTGTTCCTGCCGGTGGAGGCAGAGGGGGTTGAAGCTGCTCAGGGGAGCAAGCAGGTGTCAGGGCTGAGCTGCTGAGGGGACATCCCAGCTCCTTCCCAGGAGGGCGCCATGTAAAGTACACGCGAGATGATGGAAATGAGGAAGGCAGAGGATAATACTTCAGGCCATGATTTCGATCATAAATTTATTTCAAACTTTAACTTGCATTTTCTAGATCTTCTGTTTTGAAAATTATGCTGTTATTGATTTAGTATTCAATCCACCAATTACACAAATCTTTACAGTGGGCTCCTCAGAAATCAATAAAATGAATATGTCACGTCATCACCTACTGCGTTAGACGTCGTCGGGAAGAAAGGGACCTTGCGGCCATGAGCCATTCATCGTTGCCACATTCTGAGAGAAAGGATGGTTTGCCATCCTCATAGCTAAACCGGATGAGCACTGCATGTGCGGCTCCTGAACCATACCGTGCATGTATTGAAGGTTCTGCATTTCTTTGGCCTGCAAATGGATTTGCTGCATCTGCAGAGACTGCTGTTGCATCGCCAGCATCATCTGTTGGTTCTGAAAATAGCGCAAAGCAGCAGCTCTTTGAGCAGCGTCTATGTCTCCGTCTTCGTTAACTGTTGATTGCACTGAGTTACCTCCCTGTCCACTCTCGGTCTGATCGTCCACACTGCTGAACAAGGGCTCCTCTTCGCTCAGGGGTGGCTCTGGCATGCCACCCGCATTGTTGCCGTAAGGAATGTTGGCCTTCAACTGACTTCCAGGAAACAACGATTGGTTCATCAACATCTCCTGAGTCAACATCGAGGGCGGAAAGCTGTCAAGATTGTTTGGCGATGTGTTAGAGAAGGGCCGGAGCTCCTGAAGGCCGTGAGCGTAAGGGCAACTTGGACCTTTGCAGCAGCGACCCTGCATGTGGAAGAGGCACAGCTTGGTCTTGAACCTCTCCATCTTCAAAGGCGAAGAGGCCATCAGGCCGTTGTTCATCGATACAGCATTGGTGTATCTCCTTAGCTCTTCCATGCCATGTGCAAATGTGCAACTTGCGCCCTTGGCACACATGTTGTTCTCCCAAAACTTACAGATTACAGTCTTGAAACCCTTTGGAGGCATCTCCGGCATCTGAGGCCAATTTGGACGGAACTGTCCTTGCAAGAATTGCTGGGACATGAGATCCGGAATATTGAGCATACCTTGCTGATTTTGATGCATCATTTGATTCTGAAGTGGCCCGTTGCCGATAGGGGGATTGTAATGCTGCTCCAGATACGTGTTTGCCAACTGATCGGCAAGATCGTCCACTCGCGGCTGAGCACTGACTTCTGGTATGAATCCAGTCGGAGGGGAAGGTCCATTCCTGCACAGGACAACTCAGATGAAAAAGAATCGACACCTTGTCAAGATGAACCTGAACTGTCCTTCTTGAGGTGACGGACCGCGAACGTTCTGGCCTGGTCCTGGGTTGGTCAATCCCCTTCCTGGTTCCATCATGACGACGTTAGGGCGAATGGGCATGCCCGACATCATTCCTCCCAGACTCAGTGCAGGCGAGGAAGTAAGGAAAGGGGGAGCTAATCCGCCGCCAGTACGTGCTCCCTCGGGCTTGACAGCGAACGGTGCACCTCCAAAGGAAGCCTTTGAGAAGCTACTGTTGGTAGGCGAAGTGTTGTGAAGGTGTTTGCTCAGTTCCCTGTTCGGTGTTGCTGCTCCGCTAAGACGCTCTTCAGCCCCGAACCTGTTGGGCGATGCTCTTGACTGAGCGTTATAAAACTCTTCTCGCGGAGAGATGCAACTTTTCTCGAAAGCTCCCCAGCCAGAAGAATCACAAGAGTATGGAGTTTCCCAAGATGAAGGAATTTCCATCGAAAGAGCTCCCAAGAAAACCTCAACTGCACGAGACTAAGGACGAATCCAAAATCTCTAGTTGGGGCTCTGCAAAGAACAAAGATTAAAATTTGGAATAAGAAACAGCGCAACATCAAAAAAGATCTTAAAGAACTCTGGATACAGATCCAGTTTCTAACCCTGATGCCCACAACTTATCCTACATGTTGTATAGCAGAAATCTTGGTTTCGAAAACGCAGCAAAGACACGCGGCCACGGTTTTTAGCAATGGTGTTTGCTCGAACAAAGAAAGAAACAGAGGCAGAAGAAAACAAGTGCAAGGAATCGAGATACAAGACGATGAAAGAGGAAAGGCGGAGAGTTTGCTTCGGGAAAGGAGCCTGGAGTAGGTCAACATGCAATAGCTCAATGCAGTGGTGAGCGAAACGAAATGGGGGTCGTTGGGAGGATTGGATGAGAAAGGAGTACTTGATGCTGGAGATCGAGTTGAGAAAACGAGAGGAGGAGAGAGTGAAACGAGTAAGGAGAGTAATACGGTGGTAACAAGTGAGTAAGTGTAACAAGAATGTCGGCGAACGTTCGCGACAAACGGGATCAGCATTTCAAGGTTGCGGTATGTATTATGTAGGGGGGTGGTTTTGATTCATGGGGTGGGGGTATGTGCTGAGCAGCTAATGGTAAGGGTAGGGGTACTCTATCGGAACGGACATACTAAATAAAGTTGGCGTATATTCAAAGTATTTTATCGTTTACAAATTGCCAACTTAGTCATATTTCACATCTTAGAGAACCTTTTCAAAAACATGGGTAGGTAGTGCACGATCTATGAAAATAGGAGGGTGGGGTCTGTTTGCGTCGGTCAAGGCCAGGGGATACAGGGGGTAGTGATTTACGAAAACCGGGGTGGGCGATACCACCCTAGTGGGAAACCGGGGGATCCCAGTGGCCAAAAAGTGGGGGTAGGGGGTTACAGGATGACAGCAACAAAAGGGGTGGGAGAACTTTAAAACAAATTTAGACAACATGGTTTCGTACCGGAAAAGAAGTACTGAGTTGCAGAATTTGGTACAGAAAAATTATATAATCATCAATTATCAGTACTTGTTGTCCGACGGTAGAGAAAGTCTCTCAGTTTTTCCAAGTTGGGTCAGATTCTTCCTACACAACAATAAAATATGTTGAATATTTCATGAATCCTTCAATATAATTGAATAAAAGCTGAATAGTTTTCAAGTATAATTTCAATTATTGATTTTCACAGTGCATGATAAACCCCCAGTACAAAAACAATCAAATCCTCCAACAAAATCTCGATCGGGCCGTACTCAGACTCCGTTTGATCGCTCCTTCCAAATTATTGCAAACAATTATCCAAATTGTTGTGTTTAAATTGAAATGTTTAAAGGATTTTTTCATAAATTTTAGATGGAACATTCAAATATTACCTGCTGTTCACCCCCACCCACAAAATCTGTGATGCAGGGCTGGTAAAAAAACGAAGGTTCTCCCGGTTCTCCTATAAAATATTTCTAGTTGATCGCATAATGGGGGTAGGGGTTAGAAAGAGGTCCTTCAGCAGAGGGTGAAATCAGGGTGAATCCAGGGGTTCCATAAAGGAGGAAAGCCATATATAGGGGTAGGGGTGACATAAAATCTCCAAGGGGTAGGGGTAAGGAGGATTGATGAATGAGGGGGTGGGGTGTAGCGTCAGCAGAAGATCCGAAGGCTACCCCGTGGGGTATATCACCCTACCCTCTTTTTGATGCACTTACATCGATATGCTTACCTGCTCCCGTGTTTGTTAGAGCCACCCCACCCTGCTCCACCCTTTACGCCTTGGCGGCTGTCTACTACCCCTAACCGCACTGTACCCTCCCCAATTTCCGTAATGTCTACCAGTCATGGTACCCCCGACTACCTCAAATCCCTACCCCCTAGGCTAATAATCTCTACCCCCGCTTTTTCCCATCCCCCGATACCTTCCGTTACAAATAGAAGACACGTAGAAACGGTTATACACTACGTCGCGCGGACAACTTTTGATTGCTAATTTCCTTACACGGGCCCGCCCGGGCCCGACCGGTCACCGGGTACCCGGCGGGTCAGGCTCACGATCTGCTCAGTGGGCACAAATTCACGAACGGCCACTGAGAACTTCGGAATGACGACGCCGCCGGCGTTTGCTGTTGAATACTGATATATTACAAGCTGCGGCTCCTGACCGCAGCGCTTTCAACACTTGAATTGAAAGTCCGTCACTTCTAGTAGAGGCCGCCTCAGCGCCGCGACTTGCCACAGGCCCCGGGCCCGCCGGACTCCGGGGCCTCCGCTGGAACTTGCGGCCGCTGGGCCGCATCGCTCAGTGGAGTAATCCGTTGCCAGTGTGCAGTACAATGGGGGTTCAGGGATCAACGTTGCTTCCGGCGGTGTAACAGTGACTGATGGAGCTACGTTGGGGCCTACAGCATGAAGGAGTTGGTTGTCATTCGCACGCTGCAATCATAACGTTAGAGAAGAAAATAGAGGGGAGCAAGTCGATGTAAAAGACCTGAGGACAGTGGCGGTGGGCAACGTCCTGTTAGCGAGTGAGTATCGTTCAGGCTGGTAGAATCTGTTGAGGAAGAAGAACATCGCCGCCATCGTCCAAGAGACCCAGACGGAGAAGGCCACCTGCACGTGACGATCAACGACAAGAGGAGGGGAGGCGTCGTGCTACGTAGGTGAACCCCAGAGGGAAAGAATAAACGTAGATGAGAAACAAGGAGAAAAGCATCAAGAATCTTGAAATAACACCAGAGTCAGCGACGGGAACTCACGATATCCAGTGAGAAATCTCGGGACTTACAAAGTTGGGAATTTGTACATCGATGGGTTTCCACGAACTCTCATCAGGCAATAGATCTCGCCAATCCACACCAAGCTGAACACCATGAAGGCAAGCATCTTTCAGGACAACTGTCAGTCTTGAGCCATGGGCAGGCCTCCTTCATCGACCTGGTCCTCAAAGAATTCGAAGAGGAACATCAAAACTCCGATCATGATGGGCACAAACGCCAAAGACTCGAACAAGTGATTGAAGAGCAACGGGACGAAGGTTCCACCATGGCGATGTTGAAACCTTGCCACCCTTGAGTGTACATCTCGCATCAGGGGTCTCATCTCACCTCAGCTGGAGCGTGAATCTCAAGATCCGCAAGCGAGTCTCCTTCAACGTGAAGGTGACCAAGGCTGTTGTGGCCACGACCAGGAAGAGAGTGTTAAATACTGCTCTGAGTTTGTGCAGGGCAATCTGAACGAATTCCATCACAAGGCTCGCCTACACTTCGGCATCCTGGCTCACCTCCCACACGCCGTTGGGCTTCAGCTGGAAGTTGAGGTTGTAAAGGTCATTCATGTGCATCACATGCACCCAACCACCCACAGCCCCGTTGATCGGGTACCTAGCGATGGAGAGCAGCTGCATAGGGCCAGAGCAGTCACTCGTCCGCTCCAAGCAAAAAGATGCGTCACCTGGTTCAGGATGACGGTATCATATCCGATGAGGTATTCCAATGACCAGCTTACAATCCCAGCTCCAAAGCAAGGGTCCGTCGAAGAGAGAGTAAGGTTCAACCGCGACGCATTGTGGGATTTGAGAGATCTGCAAGGGTAATTCACAACTCTCGTCTGGATCAGCATGTCAAGGTATGCCTGGTTGAAAGTAGAAGCAGCCCCTTCTCCCTACTGAACACGTACACGGGAACCTGATTGATATTTCTCAGACCACGACTGAGACACGTCAAGTCGTAACCTGCATCAAATCCTCGAGCTCGTCTAGAGCAATGGCGATGAGAAGTGCATCATCATGCGTGAGATCCCGCAGTAATGCAGCTCCACTCGCTGCCGCATCTACAATCCGGTCTTCTTCTACCCGCGCGACGAAGCTGATTTGCCTCGGGGCAATGGTGACATCGAACTTCTGTCTTGATTCATTCGGATCGGCTTCCAAGGGCCAAGAAGTCTCGATCTTTTCTTTATGACGAAAGATCCCCTCCCCTGGAGCTTTTTTGAATGCTTCACCGAGTGCTCTGTGGTCCTCTCTGAAGATCTGGCTGACAAGATCTACTTCTGTGGAGTTGTTGGCATCCGATCTTCCAAACAACCTTGCAGTGAACGCCTTCCATCGTTCCTGAACTACACCGAAACCTTTGTTCGTTCTCGGCGCATTGCTCTGCGCTTGGGCTGCAGTCGTACTGAGTATAGAGTGCTTTCTGGTTGGCATGTTTGCTGCGAGTCCCGAGTCCTCTGGTGTCGGAGAGTTACGTTGCATCGTTATCACTTGATTCATCATCTCAAGCTTCAAGTGCTGTGCGAGACGTGACCAAAGTCCCACAACACGGATCTCGAGGATCTCAGGTTGAAGATCATTGATCAGCTTAGTGGGAAGACACTTGTTCTGTCCGACAAAATTGACATGCAGCAAGACCAGCAGAGCAAGTAGCCAGATTCCCAACAACATGAAGAACACTTCCATCACCTGTAGCGAGTTAATGAGGATATTCTATCAGCCACCACGATCCTTTCATACCTTGCTGAGAGTCCTTTGCCATCTGCTCCAAGCATTCAACCTTCTCGTGGGAAGCCTTGGTGGAATCCTCCGCCTCCTGTCAATCCTTGCGCGACCAGTATCAAAAAAGCCTCGCTCCGAACTCTCATCAGCTGTCTCTGAAACAGGTACATCAGGGGTGCGCCTTTCAGACCCCGACACATCTCCACTCGTATGATCACTGGGCAAAGATCCATTGGAATTCTCCGTTGTCCAGCCTCGCATCCACCACCCCTCGCCCATGTCCCTGCCATTCGCAAACCCCATGCTACCTGTTCGAGAGTCCTCGCCCATAAATACTTGATTACTCGCAGAATCATCTGACTCGTTCGACTCGGTTCGATGCACTGCTATGCCATCCCCCTGTGCAGTTTGAAGCTCCTCATCACCGTCTACTCGCTGTGAAGCCGGTTCCGGCGTCAAATCCGCATTGTTTGAGTGAAAGTAAATCGGAGATGAATGCAACAAGGCATCATCGTTCAGTCCATGCTGCCTTGCAGGAATATCCATTCCAGCTTGTTCGTCATTGTGAGTATCCCAAAGATGCATAATAGCTGCTCACCGGGACACGCGAGTCAGTGAATGAACTGCGTCCAATCACAATAACAAAGCTCCTACCTGATGCGTTCGTCGAGATGTCAACTTTCCTGCATGTGGCGTCGGGAGCTGCATATTCATTGTCGGTGCTCAAGTTTCGAGCATGGTCTACTTCGTGCGAGACATCGTCTCTGCTATCTTCGTCTAGAGCGTGAATGTTGGCAACGAAGTCGATTCGTCCTGTTTCGGCTTTACCTCCCCGAATCTCTCTTGCCTCCTCCTCTCCCCCCTCATCTCGTGTAAGATCATGTATCTGGAGCTGATCCTGTCCTCCTCTTCCCTCTTCTCCCTCTCCTTCCTCCTCCCTTCCATCCACCCCCGTCTGCGGTCGACCCAGCATCGCCTCGCTCGACAGTCCCACCTACCCACCCTACCCCCATGGATTCTTACCTGTACCCCTGTAGCTCGCTGATGATTACTACCCCACCCCAGGTATTCCGAAAAATTTACATATCGATACCACCCCTTGACCCCCCAGGTTCACACCAAGAAGCTCATAACCTTCTGGAATCATGGGAAGGGTGATGGAAAGGGATTTTGGGGGTAGGGGGTGGGGTGGTTTGTGGACATCTGCCCTGCAATGGCGGGAAGGAGGGGAATGGACTGGGAGACCTGAGGGGAACAGCAGAGAGCACGCGAGAGGGTTGAGGAGGACCGAGGAGAAGGATATCTGTGAGACATCGAAACAGGAGGAGAAAGGAGGAGGCGAGGGTGATATTGCTCAAGGAGGAGGGGGAACGAGCGAGGAGCTCTTTTCTAGGGTGTGTACAGGAACGTCGTCGTTCTCACCAAGATGAATGCTCTTCCTACACCTCACGACAATCAAAATCATCTTCACAAAGTTCTAACAGCATGTAAATATTACTTCCAGCAATCAAAATTCATCAGATCTCGAGCCCACGAGAGCAATCTACATGTGTCCTCGGACTCAAAGTTCAATGCGGGCCTGATTCTTCTTGGACGGCTGGCCTCAAAGCCACAGGGTTCTTCTCAGCAAGATGAATCTCCAGCTGATGATTCGCTTGTGGGAAAAAGCAGCGAGGAGATCTTGACACGTGTATTCCTTGAGACCGGCCTAGCAACCTTCTTTCATATCTTGGAGCGAGATTCAACATACAAACAGGTCATGCTGCAAACTCTATCGCTATCGTTGAGGGCAGTGCCACCGCTGTCCTTGCGTGACCTACCGACTCTACCTTTAAACAACCTTAGACGGTTGAACGGGTTTCTAGTCGACACCTTGAACAACGAAATGAGCAGTCTAAGTACTTCAGATGTCATGGTGGAGCAAGCCATGGATTCGTTGGTACACTTGATGATGGCTTTGGGCTATCTAGAGATCAATCAATCATTTCTCACACTAATTCAAGCATACCCAAGGTGACATCATTTTGTCCTGTTGAAGGTTATGTGGCTCACCTCCATTGCTAGTTTGCTGCAATTGCGTCACGTACAAAGCTTGCGGAATATTTCTCTCATGCGGGAAGACAACAGCCCCCTTAAAACGCCCAAGAGCAAGAATCGAAAGATTAAGATGATCTGGTATGTGATTTCTGTCTGCAATGTAGAGTTCTTACAAGTCAATTGTAGCTTCCTTCCTCCGTTTGGGTCGGACGATCATGTTCGCAAAACTTGGTTTAGACGAATGAAATCGATGTTACACTCTTTCGGTATCTTTACAAAAGATACAGAAGTCTCAAAGGTATCCCATGGCATCCATTAAATTCAAAGTGTGATTTTTTCCAGGCATGGACCTGTTATGAAAAGCAAGAAGACGACAGTGCTCATGATATACTAAAGCAATTATTTTTTCCTTCACAAGACACTTTGCTTTCAAATTTCCCTACACCTGCTTCTATCCGAGAAGGCCTGGAGAAGGAATTCGCATTTGAAATTGAATTAAGAGCTCGAGCTGACGCCTTTCTCGATAAGGTAACTGTCACAGACCCCTGAAGTATCTGAATGTTTTTTTGCAGGTTGAATCACTTCTACGACATGCCCCCCTGCTTTCAAAACACATTGCAGGAGCTGCTATGATACTTCCTATGATGGGTTTGGCTCGTCGTTTGAGATTTCACGATGGAACAAATCAGAGCGTGCAACCAAACATTGTACCAGCACACGTAATTTTCGGCAATGAAGCGCTGAAGAATTTGACGGCATTGTAAGTTTGATTAATTGTGCTGTCTTCAGCCTCTGACCCTATCACTTATCTAGGTTTCGAAACCTTTTCTATGTTCACTCTGACGAAATGATGGGAGATTGTGATATTTCCTCCGAGGACGTACTAAACCTTGAACATGAAGCCAAGATTTTGTCTTTGATATCTTGGCTGAGCATATTGAAAGTCAATTTGAACTGGATGCTTGCAAATCTGAACAAGAATGGCATCTTAGAATCAAAAGATGTGATGAATCATGTTGGTGAGGTGAAAGAGATCTTGGAAACCATAATCTTCGGGAGAAATCACAATCTGCCTGAAATCCAACCTTTAAGCAAGGATGAAACTGTAGTGAATGTTGCGATGGATGCTTTTTCTTATGGGGTCCCTGTGATATATTCACAAATTGATGAACTTTTGGATGCTCTCCAGGTAAACTTGTGTCTCATGAATTGTTAATTGGCGAAACGTTTATCCTTTTGCTGATGCTTGCTTCAGGGCCTACAACAAAATGGAAGAAATCGATCACAATCAAATTCACAAATGATCAAGAATACTCAGATACTCCTAATGAGAAGAATTTCGCATTGTTCGTATTTATGGAAGTTGATCTTCGGTGACGTCCCGGAACAAAGCTTGGAAGTAGATTGCTCACGTACAATACCTGCTACTCTGCAGAAAGCGACAAATGTTTTCAACACTTTTGTATCGGAATATTTCGATGATCTTCATGATGTTTTGGAAACACCTGATTATGCAACTTTGGAAAAGCGTCATTCTAGACATATGAGGCCGGTAGGTGAAGAAGATACTTTCTGGTACTGGGATCTTGAATCTTCGAAGAATATTTCTCTGGATGAGACAAAGATGATAGTCAAAAAATCGAATGGAATGAATGCAGGGTTCATCTTTGGTTCTGTTGGATTTGTAAGTGGAGTCCATAGCTGGTATGTTAAGATTGATGGGACGCCATCGAATGTTAGAATTGGCTACTGTCGTTCGTCCGATCCTGAGCAAACCTCAAATTCATGGCATTTTGAGTTTCCGAATACACTATCGGAAAGATCCAAACAAGAAACTTGTTCTGTACGGGTCGAAGACAAGGATGTTGTAGGTATTCATCTTGATTTGTTTTGTGGAAAATTGGACTTCTACAAGAACAATTTGTATATTGGCTCTTTGCAGAATGTGAATGGAAAAGTTTATCCATTCGTGTATTTCCCATTTTCTGCCCATAACGTGACAATTTCTCGTGAATATAAATCGCCTACAGCGACTATTCAACCTGCATATGACTATTCTGAGGTTTTGTGCAGATTCGTTGGCACATATGTAAATATGCTTTATTCTGCTTGTCAAGATTCTCCAAATATTCTAATGTTACCATTCAATCTTGCAGTTCTTGAACAAATTTATTTGAAGTTTCATGAATTTCTGGACTGGTTCGCTGGGAAGGTTCAGAAGCAAGACGAGGATACAGCTGTTCTCAAGCAGATCTTCTGGTCCCTCATGAACCAGAGGTTGTTGTATGCAGACGATAGCAAAGTAACACATTTCTTACCACTTATGGCCAAGCTGTTAAACGCATCATCTCACTTAAGCTGTTTACCAACGAGTAGCTCTTTGTTTCAAAGTGTTGTGAAATGTGTATACTCTCTTCAGGAAATTTGTTCACATTTTCAAGATCTTATGACATATGATGGTCGACACTTCAATTCATTTTGTCTACAGGGATTGAGATTTACTAGTCCAGAATTCTATTACCGCATATCTCAACCATCAATCATATTTGACTGCTGGTCCCTTCATATCATCCTGAAGCGAGAGCTATCGCCGCCCAATTGTGTGGCTTCAACTGTTCTGTCAACCTCACATTTCTGCCTACAGCTCGATGAGCGAAATTGTCGAGGCACTATAAGGATTTTGGAAACGCCAAACAACAAGTTTTACTGGTGTTCTGATGTTTCGTGCAAGATTGGAATGTGGATTTGCGTTTCAATCAGTTGCCAGATGGGCAAGATGACTTTGTTTATCAATGGTGTTGAATCTGGACAGATCCCTATTTCGTTCCCATTGAATCTTTTAAGGATCGGAACGGCCAGTGATTCCAGTCCAGACGACTTTTTCTGCGGATCCATCCGAGAACTGCATGTTTTTGACAAGGAAAAGAATGGAGAGGAGATTTTTGGAATGATCAACAAAGGAATGAGCTCCGGTATTGGGCACCTTTTCAGCATTGAATTTGGCAACAAAGTTTCAGATAAATTGCTGCAATATGGAAAGATGCGATTGGAAATTAGTCATGCATGTAAGAAACCAATGAAGCAAAGAAAATCAGAGCTGGTTCCACTGGAAACGCATTGGTTGTATGAGTTCACCAAAGAAATCAACGCATTGGCAGTGAGGCATGCGCTCTTGCTTTTTCGTGGAAATAATGAGAGTGAGGAAGAGCAGCTTTGCAACAAATGGCTCAATTCTCTTCTCTTCGCGCAGGGTGAATCTGTAAGAAATGATGCATTGAATTCAATTGCTTTTCTGGATGGTTGTACAGATGACGTTTACTTTCAAATGTTACAACCTAGAATTGGAGTCAGATTGTCAACAGAACTGGACAGACTAGAGCGGTCCATCATAGTGGTAATGCTTTATCACCTACAATTGTTGGATGTTGTAGAGAGCTCAGTGACTCAGAACAGCCCATCGAATCAAGTCGAATTGTGTTGTAGATGCGCATCCATTGCAGCCAGAAACATTCGTCGGCATGTAATGCAAACCAAGGATTTTTACAACCAATCTGCTTTGATTGAAGAGAACGACAATGGATGGGATAAATTCTGTTCTCCTATTCTAAAGAGGTGCGAACTTTTGTTGAACCTGCCTCCAATGACATCTCTTGACCATGAGCTCAAAAGACTCGTGCATTTGCAAAATGATGAGCACATTGGCCATAAATCAATTACAGGAATGAAAGATCTTCCGGTTGAGCTGAAACTCACCATCGGAGCTGTCTTTGAATTTTTGAAGGATGACATCGATCCAGAAACTATTTCAGTTTCACTCCAGAAAAGAAAGCAAAAGGCAAAAGAGTCCGAAAATGGCTTGGCAGCCTTGATTGATTTGCTTGCAGTTTCCCAGAAGTCATCATTGAGCTCGGACGCCCTGTGTTTGCTTGCATATGCACCTAATGCGAACGCTCATTACCTCTCTGGCATCTGTTCAAGCGGCCTACAAGCTGAACAGGAAGTAAGATCAAAGTTTTACTCTTTGGTCACCTTCCTTTTAAATGTTGGCAATGATGAGTCACTGCAGCCACAGATAAGAATTGCTGCTTTAACTTCTCTAACTACATTGTACGATCATGCTGATCTAGAAGTCATCCTTTCAATGCTTGATGGTGATCATTTGAAGTCGTTTATTCCTGTGCAATCCTCGTCTTATTCCCAACTATCAAAGACATGGTCGCAATCGTATGAAGTCATGAAATGCAAGAACAGATTTCTTGGCTCTTTAATGATAGGAGTGGGGATGAATAATCGGAAACTGCATGAAGCATGCAAGGCCAGGATCGCTTCTGTAATTGGATCAAACATCTTTTCGATTGTTAAAAGGCTGAACTTTAACAAATTGCTTTGTAACACAAATAATTTTCAATCTTGGGAAGGTCAAATCGCAGCTGTGTGTGGAAGTATCCTCCCGATATCCATGCGACTTACTTCCGAGTATGATGAAATCCTGCAGTGCAAGGTGCTGGCTGGAACGGTTTCTTTGAATGGTAAAATACACTCTGTGGCTGGGAAATCCATTCGATGTCAAGGTTCGAAAGAGCTGATGCTGTTGTATTCACCAAATCGTCCGCTGCATGGGCAAGAATATCATGATGTTCGGTCTAAGCATATTTTGATTTTCCGATGTTGCATGCTAAATGACTTCCACATGAGTGGAGTTCTGCTCACGGCAAATTCTCCACAGGAGGGCAAACTTCACAGATCTTATTTCGATGAAGAGCAAAATATCTCAAATGATTTCGATATCAAGAATTCTCAAAATTTTCAAGTGTACAAGGTTGATAGAAGTCCAGTTCCTCGTGAGTTTCTCGAAAAGAGCTTGCCCTTTTCTTCTTCTCTGACGGTCACTCCAAACTGCATTGTCCGCTGTGTATCCTCTGAAGAGATCAAGGGGATAATTTTGTCAAATGAGCCGGTATCATCTACCAACAATTTTGTCGAGATGCAAATTGTTACAACATCCTCGGACCCATGTATCGCGATAGGTATCGCTTCCAAACCCTACAGCTATAAGCAAATGTTGGGTTGGAATCGCGAATCTATCGCGTATTATGCAAATAATGGCAACCTAGTTTCGCAATCCAATTTCGACTTGAATTTCGGGACCTGCTGTGGCCTTGGCGACTTGATATCTTGTTACATCACCTTTTCTGTAGAAAAGGAGCCAGAAACTGTTGTATGGAGCAAGAATGGACAGTACATAGGCTCAAAGGATATAAGCGGATTATTTCAGAGACCAGTATATTTTGCATTTGCGACGATCAATACCGATGATGGCGTTTTCATATCTTCAGGCTCACCGAGTAGAATACCTTTGGAGGGGCTGGCTGAAGAAGAAAGAGTTCTCGATCTCATTAACATCAAAGAGAACCAGGCTAGTATGAAGATCGATGGTCAAGTTCTGGTAACAGACGAGGGAATCAAACTTATGGCCGCGAGGAATGCTTCGTCCTCTGCGATTTTTTCCCCATCCTTAGAAGGGCTCGATACATTGATTGTAACAAGTACAATCTGTTTGGTACTGAACGAAGAAACATGTGCTCAAGGTTTTCATTGTCTTGTCCTGTTTCGGGGTGCTTGTGGCCCATGTGACAAACAAAATTGGTCGGATTCATTTCTCCTATTCGAAATACAGCACAGAAAGCATGAATCTCCAAGTGAAGCCGTGGCTGGATTGGAGTTTTCGATTGATATTCGTATTGCTGGCTTGAAATACTCGAAAATGATTTCGTTCCCAAAGGAGACTGTGAAGGAGCTTTGGTTGAGAGTGGAATTTTATCCAGGCGGAAATTCAATACCAATCTTCTTGTCAGATTCTGAGAAACTGCTCGGCGATATACCTTTTCTAGTGGTCCCTTCCCCAGCTATACAGATTTCAAATGAAATTGAATGTGGGGTGACCATAGATAGCAATGATTGCATCAATTTGGCAGCGGAAAGCGAAGTTTCAGCAGCTCCCCAAGTTGAATTGACTGTAAAACACTGGAAAGTTAAAACCAAGAAGTACGAGAGTGGTTGCCAGATAAGAGACTCGAATCTTGATCTTTGTACACAAGAAAACCAAGAGCTGAAATTCTTGCTATCATGTGTTCATTCCGTGTGTCATGATAGCTTCTTTCGAGCCAAAGTACGGAGCAAGAGTTGGCAGGAATCCTTGTGGGAGATGTCAATCTCAGAATCACTTGATGTGGAGGCTCGACTTGAATCCATCAAATGTATCGTATCATCGATTGTTGAAGACTGTGACAAAGACTTCATCCATCGAAATTTGAGGAAATTCATTGATTTCTTGACGGAGATTTCACCAGAGCACTTGATCATGAAGGCAAAGTCGAGTGTGAACGCCTGGAACACAAAGCCATCTGTCGTGACTTGGTATCAACCTCCCCAAAATTTTCGTTGTGATATGAAAGGATATTTTGCTTATGGGAAGAGTCTTCCACGATCCAGCCTTGCCTTCAGAAGAAAAGTTTTACAAATTTTTGCTTCGTTGGTGGTCAAGCCGTATGTAAGAGATGAATTTACCTCGCTCGTTTCCGAGCATTTCCAACAGTACAGAGAGTTCTGTCATCGAGGAGATTGCACTGCAATCAGATGGGGATCGATATTGGCTTTGGGTGGAATTCTTGATACTCTCCTTTACAACAAGAATGGGGCCGCCCTGAATGATGAGTTTCCTCATTCTGAAACTCTTGTAAAGGATTTTTTCGATACTTGTAAGGTTATTTTATCATGCGGAAAGGACTCATCTGGAATCAGTTCGCCGCATCCTTCACTTGACAGCAACGAGCAATCTAACTCTCACACAAAGACAATATTTTTGTCTATGTTGAAAGCAAGATTTATGAAGTGCATTTGGGAATTCACAACATTTAGAAAATTCCAGGAAGCTTTGTCTATGGATGGGGATCTTATGAATTTGGTCGTGGGATCTGCACTGGCTGCGTCGGGGCTTCCTTATGTTTCCCGAAGGATTTCAAGGAGTCAATATCTTTTTGATGCCCAACATAAATCGTCCAAGACAAAAGTCTATGAAAATGGAAGACAATGCGAAATTACTAAAAACGTTGGTCAAACCATCATGTTCGACCCGCTGCTTTATCGTGGTTCTGGACTTCATTACATCGAATTAAAGATTTTAACAGATCCTGCAAGCTATTTCTTAGTAGGTTGTGCTGTTCCAGAATATCCTTTGACAAAGTCATTAGGCGATGAAAATGGAAGTTGGGCATGGGCAAACGATGGCGACACTAAAATTGAAGGCAAATGGAATGGTCAGTATATTTCAAAGTTGCCTAAATTTGCTGAAGGGGACCATATTGGAATGCTGTTGGATATGGATGCTGGCATTCTCAAGTTTACTAAAAATGGTGAATTACAGAAAGTTGAGATTGACTGCTCAAAGCAAGATTTCTTGAGGTTTGCCATTGGGTCCACAAAAGCCATCAAAGTTGAAATTGCCGACAAGTGTTTGTTCGATCATATAACTTTAAGCAAGCAGAGTCCTTCATGGCTTACAGTAGAGAAGATCGTTGCTAAGATTGAAAATTTGTCTCTACAAATTGCATACGGGGTTTCCTCTCCAAAGACCTTAGCAGTTGGAGAGGAAATCCAAGAACAGATGAAAACGATGGAATCTCCTGGCTATCATGCTCATCTGAAACGCTTTGTTAAGGAAAATTCCACCATGCAAGAATGGCATAGCATTGACGAAGACATGTTTTCAAACCTTTCGTCGCTTTCCTATGACTGGTTTGGTGACACTTCGAAAGGGTCTGAGGGTGAAGACAGTTCCAATTCTACGTGGTTCACTACTGGAGACAAAGGGAAACTTCTGTTGTCGTGCGAATCGTTCCTGGAACACACGTTCGCCAGATTGACTATACTTGAACTACTGAGGTTCAGGATGCCATCATGTGCCCACTTTATGAGTATCGGGCATATCGTTCAGTTGCTCTCCTACTTCTTCCCCCCCGGGTATGGTCGTTCGCGAAGGATCATGTCATCGGGCATGTACCTTGAGATCACTAAGGTATTGGACGAAGCCCTGAGAGGATGGTTTTCTTTGTCAGTTGCTGAAGATGATGCCAGCCTATCTCAAGATCTATCTCACCTTGTCAATTATTGCATCCAAGTGTTGGAGGAGATGGTTGGACTGCAGATTGTTCAGAAGAAGGGGATCAAATATTTTCTCTGCCCAGTCAATGGAAGAATTCCAGTTTCAGCAGTCTCATGGCAGTTGCCCACCAAGGTTAGGATACAGGATCACATGCCTGAGAACGAAATTGAAGCTCAATCGCGTCATTCCACGTCTCTGGCTATTTGGCTGAGCTCCCACATCGCTGAGATTTGTGGGGTAAAGAATCCAGGAATAGACTCAAACTTGAATCGCTTCGTTGAGACACTTTTAATGGCCATTTGCACTCAACAAGCCGGGAACGTACAAACTTCCTTGATACAATCCCTGCAAGGAATCTTACGATGTGGGAAAAGTGGATTGGAAGTTAGTTGGAGCCACCAGTCCCAGTCACTGATCCGTGAGCTGCATTATTCTGCGATTGTTAGGCTGGAAAAAGAGCTAGGTTCTGGACGGAGCCCCCCTGGATGCCTGGATACCAGAGATCGACGCCGATCGTCTGAGCTCAAGGCCCTCGTCGGTCTGCTTATCTGGATCGACTCTTCCAGTGGTATGCACAATGATCTGAGCCCTTGGAGGAGTGCCCTGAAACAGAAGAAGAACTCTACCAACAAGACATCGAATCAAAAAGAAGTACTCCGCCAGTTAGGTGAAATGGGCTTTTCATCTGATGACATCACTACTGCCTTGATAGCCACGGACACGAATGAGCTTGATACTTTGCAAGGTGAGAAGGGCCAGGCGGTGATTGGCTTTCTATCTAAGATGAACGTTGGCAAATTCTCAACTTCTTCGGATGAAGACAATTTCGATGTAGAGCTATGTCCAGTCTTACGAGTTTTGAATGTGAATGACCTCTCAAAACACACTTTTCGGCAAGTCCAAACTCTAAGCAAGTCGAAATATGGTATCTCCCTTGCAATGTTGGATAGTTTGGGACTGTTGGCTGAGGCATTGAAAGCCTTCAGGGCCGAGTCGGATCCTCCAGTATGGCTGAAAAATTGCTCAATGAGGTTGGGGGCTGACAGGCATCAATTTTTGACATGGAACGACACCGATCTCAAAGCTGGAGTCCGGGTGACAAAGAATTGTGCAGTCCTTGGACTTGAATCTCCTCTGGAAGGTGAATGGCTGGGATCTACAGGAAATTTTCCTTTTGATGATTACTTTAATCGCATGACATTTCGCATCGAAGTAGAAAATCAATCTGGTGCAAAGATGTGCATTGGAGTGACCAATATTATAAGTCATCATCAAGATCCTCTGTATTCAGCACATTGGTCCATTGCGATACAAAGCAACCCTGAAACGGGAAATTGCAAGATTTTTTCACTCGATTCAGAAGGAAATGTTTTGCTCACACCAATGGATGCGGTTTGCCCAGCATTCAAGAATGGTACATTTGTCTGCTTGGCTGTAGATCGAAACAGGATTCTGCACATACACGTCAAAGAAGGAAAGGAACCCGACAGGCGACTTGACCTTGTCGCGAGGGTTGAACTTCCTTACGGAGGATTTTTTGTGCCTTTTGCAGCTTTAGCCGATAATTCTGCCACATGCGAGATTTTGAATGATGATAGCTTGAGGAGGCAGAAAGAAACAGACTCAAAAAGCTCTCAATTTCATGAATCGTACCTCTTTTCGAACCAGGTATTGTGTCCTTTTCGGAACAGTTCCACGAAGAAGTATTTTGACTGGGATCAGGGTTTCGACTGCAAGCAATGGAATGTCTGTATGGATACCCTGTTGGTCCAATACGTCGCTGATCGCTCCCATCCAAAGAGCAAGAAGGAAATCACTCCTAAGAATCTGTTCGACGAAAATGAAAATGTGGAAGAGACTGTGTCATCTACTTATTGTCTGCTCTCGAGATTCCCATCCGAATTACCTCCAACGATTCCCTCCTCTCCAGGCATGAACATTTCAAATGATTATGGAATGCATCGAGATATTCAGAGTTCCTACGAGGTGGAACAGAGCTCACTGGAGAATTGCAGTAGAGCATCGGTGCGTTCGAGGTACTGCCTGCTGAAAGCCTTCAACAAGATTTTGAAGGATTCGATATCTCTGATCGATCTGAGCAAGATTGATTGTCAAGACAACCTTGCACATTACCTCGCCTACAGCAAAGGGAGGATTTTCCCCAGCGTCAAGGAGAATTTGATGAGGTTGGTGATCCATCAGACCAAGGATCCTCACCTTGTTCCTTCCATCAGTCTGAACAGAGGGATCTGCACAGCAGACAAGAGAAAAAGAGAGCTGACCGTGTTCTGGCAAGTCTTCAACGCTGTAGAATCCAAGAAAGCAACTCTGAGATCGGTTGAGAAGCGCGGCAGCGGCAATCAAGCTTGGATTACGACTTTTGAAGGAGAAGGAGGTAGCGATCATGGAGGTTTGTTCCGAGAATCTGTCAGGGAGATTTGTGCTGAGCTGCAATCCATCAATGGTTCCCTCAAGTTGTTTGTGCCATGTCCGAACCAAAGGATGTGCATAGGAGAAAATCAAGACAAGTGGATTCCAAACATCTTCGCAACAAGCGCGTTGCATCTGAGCATGTTCCGATTCGTAGGTTCGCTGATGGGCATGGCTATCAGGACGAATTCTCTCTTGGAGTTGGACCTGGCGTCGTTGGTTTGGAAGAGACTAGTGGGAGAGCTGGCGAACCTCTCAGATATTTTTCGCATGGACGAGGCTTTTCGTGCGCACTACCAGGTAGTATAGCTTAGCTGCATGCGATGAGCTCGGGCGTGACGTAGATGAACAGGATTTGTCCAGCTGCGCATCAGAAAGAGACTGGATAGCGAAGGGGATAACATGGACCTACCGGTCGAGCATGGGAAGACATCTCGTCTTGATCCCCGGGGGAGGGGATACTGACGTTCAGTGGCAAGACAAGGACAAGTAGAGTTTGACTCGGAACACTTGTGTGTCAGTGACTCTGGTCCACAGGTACCTGGCTGAGGTTGTACGGCACAGGCTGTCAGAGTTCGAGTTGCAAGTCAATGCGGTGAAGGAGGGGCTGCACTCGGTCGTCCCCCCTGTTGTCTTCTCGCTCTTCACCTGGAGGGAGTTGGAGGCCAAAGTCTGCGGCACCTCCGAGATCAACGTGGAGGCTCTCAGGAAGATCACCGATCACAACTTGCCCGAGAAGGAAAGGAACCCAGTAGCCGTCATGTTTTGGAAGGTGAAATGTCGAGGTTGTGCAAGTAGTCTCTTAATCTCACGTCAGGTGGTCGAGAAGATGACCAACTCAGACCGTGCGGACCTCTTGGCGTTCGCCTGGGGGCGCAGGCGCCTCCCCCCGAACAACAGTAACCTGCGTCTGAAGATCGAGCTGCTGTCAGGGAGGGGAGATGAATCCCTCCCAGAGGCTCACACCTGCTTCTTTGCCATCGACCTACCCAAGTACTCGAGCGAGGAGGTCATGCACTCTAAACTGCTGTACGCCATCCGAAACTGTTCGGCGATAGACAACGACTTTGCCGTCCAGAGTGAAATCCTGTTTGACGCTGAGTCAGAGCTGCTGTCGTTCTCCGATGGGTTGGAATTCCATGACGGCGCGATGGAGAACGAGGGCGTCGACGAAGAAGTGCAGGACAGGGACGTGGGTTCACGCAAGTCCTCCCAGCTCCACATCCCTTTGGATGGTGGCCATGAGATCTCTGCCTCGTCGGCTGACAAGGTCGAGAGCGATTTCCTGCTCCACAAGCATGCGTACAAGTTCATGGAGTTGGCAGAGGCGAAGTTCGGGTCCAAGGTAGTCGAGCCTCTACTCTCCTCCTGTTCTGACATGTTGAAGCATCTGGCCGGAGAGGCCACAGTGGACGGACGGGATGTCGAGCAGGAGAGTCAACAGTTTGAAAGTGAAGACGAAGAGATGGAGATGATGTGGAATGACCGTGGGATGTTTTCTGAGCTCGACCAGATGACTCAGCCTCTCGACGACAGCGAAAGTGAGAGCGATAGTGAGTCCGAAGAGGATCACGACCATGACGACGAAAGCGGCGATACGCTGGAGGTTTACAGCGAGGATGAGGATGACTCAGATGTGGAGCAAGTGTCGACCGAGGAGGACGAGGAGGACGAGGATGACGAGGAGGATTCGGAGGACTCTGACGATTTAGTGATGTTCTCCCAGCAGACCGACGGCGAGCAAGATCCGAGCACCCTAAACTTCGACTTGCTACCATAGATTTGATGTTGCAGCTCTTGTGAAATTCTACCCGCTAGTTTGAATTCTTCTGTCATGGGACTGACCCTCCTATCATAGCCTCCAGCTCGACCCGTCATCCTCTTCATCGCCCTTGTCCAGTCGGTCAGTGCCTATGCGCATGCCCCCTCCCTTTCACCTCCTCCATCACAAACTCGACATCCGCGTGGCTACTCAGATCGTCCAGGGAGCAGCTGCAGCTGCCTCGCCACTGTCTGCACTTCAGCCGACGAGACCGTGAGCAAGAGGGTCGCACCTTCTTCTCTAGCTCACGCATGACAATCCTGCGAGCCCGTCAGACGAGATACGAAGGGCAAGATGACGTACCACAGGCCATAATTGGGGAAGGCGCAGGGGCGCTTGGAGCGGAGGAGGAGGAAGGCGTCGACGAGGCTGAGGCCTTGCCGCTTCATCAGCCACAGGCACGCGATGGTGCAACTTCTTGACGACCCGGCGGTGCAATGGAGGAGAATCTGGAGGAGAGCGAGATGAGAGGTAGGATGGGAAGGAAAGAGAAGAGAAGAGGAGAGGAGAGGAGAGGAGAGGAGAGGAGAGGAGAGGAGAGGAGAGGAGAGGAGAGAGGAGAGGAGAGGAGAGGAGAGGAGAGGAGAGAAGAGAAGAGAAGAGAAGAGGAGAGGAGATCAGGACAGGGCAGGGCGGGAGGAGGAACGTTTATATGCACCGGGTGCCTTGAGTCCTCCATCAGAGCATCAACAGCCGCAACCGCGTCCTCCACGTCCTTCACCCGAGCCTCCAGTCAGTGCCGCAATGCGCGTGCTTCTCACCTTGATCTGAGCCTCAGCTTCCGAGGAGGCATCGGAGAGGTGCAGCTCGATGACGCGGTCGATGCTGGCCCTGGAGGAGAGGAGGTCTGCCGCTGATCCCTCCTCGGAGACTGTGAACAGCATGTCTCCCTCTTTGACCCGAGGGTCCTGCGCTGCTACGTCGATCACCTGCTTACACGAGGTCAAGCCGATCTTGCAGGAGGGAGGAGGGATGGGAGACAGTCAGGAAGGGGGAGAGAGGGGGGGGGGCGGAGGGAAAGGAGCATGGAGCGAACATGTGAGCAGGAGCAGGAGGCAGGGGCAGGATCACGAGCATGGGCAGGGGCAGGGGCAAGGGCTTGGGCTGGGGCAGGGGCAGGTTCAGGGGCTCTGGCAGGGTCAGGGGCAGGGGCCGGAGCATGAGCAGGAGCAAGTGCAGGAGCAGGAGAAGGATGCACTGACAGACTTTATGCCCAGTTCTTCACAGCTCAAGTTCCTCGCAGCAGCGAATCCTGGCTACGAAGAGTTTTCCC